TGCTAATCATCGAAACAGACAATCTAAAGCTACTGATTATAAGTGAAAAATTAATAGAAATATGTCTAAAAAATTATTATCATCAATTATTTTTACTACTGTTGTAGATCAACATAACCATCTAATGATGCCTTTACCTACTACTACAATCGCAAAATATTGTAAATTTAATAGTAATACAATTCAATTTATTAAATTTTGTGTAAAAAGTGAAATATCAGATGCACAACCTATTGGTCAATTATTAAAAAGCAAATTTTTAAAAATAAGAATTTATCGAAAAAATTTTTATAATGCTATCTAAGCTGCAAAAAAAATATTTGACTAAAAGAGCTAAACTTGATGCATTTGATTTTATGCGCTATTTATATTTAAAATATACTGAAGATTCAAGATAGTTTGTTGAAAGTAGATTTGATGGACTTGAGTGAAGATTGAGTAAACTAATTTGGATATTATCTGATCAACAATATTTATGGACTAGATATTATGATATTATTTTTCTTGATACAACTTCTCGTATAAATAAATATAATATAGTCACATACTTTTTTGTTATCATTGACAACTATAATAAATTACAACTTGTTGCATCTGCTTTACTTGAAGATGAAACCAAGGATAGTTTTATTTGGATTTTTCAAATGATTAATAAGTATATGAATAATTTAATACTACAAGTAATATTTATAGATTTTGATCCTAAAATAGCTAGTGCAATATATTTAGAATTTTCAAGTTTTGTTCATTGTTTATGCTTATTTTATATCAATCTCAATTTAAAAAAGAATCTTCAAAATAAGTTTAATTCAAATAAATTTTTAGAGTTTCATACGAATTTTTTTAAATATAGAAATACTATAGTTAAAGAATTATTTGAAAGGCGTTGGGAAGCTTTGAAGTTAAAATATACTTCAGCAAGTAGTTATATAAAACGGCAATTAGATCTAACAAAAACAAAATGAGCTGTGTGCTATATCAATAACTAATTTGTTGCAGGTGTGAATAGTACACAATGTGTAGAAAATCTGAATCATAAAATTTATAGCTATGTGGGATCTAATTCGTTACTTTTAGAATTAGTTAAAGAAATTCAAGATATATTTAACAAAGAATCAAATTATATGAGGATAGAAAAATATAAAAGTGAAATTTCTAAAGTCAGGCTTGCAACAGTGCCTAGAACATATTTTAATTTAATTGAACCAATTATTTCACAATATCTTATACCAACAATGGTTTTTAAAGTTTGTGAGCAAATGCAAGAATACTTCTTTTATGATTGTATTAAAATCAACTATATGGATCTTGAGTCTATATTACAGATAACTCTTTGAATTATGCATTATTAAACTAAAAAGATTTATCATACTAACTAATTTATATTATTAGAAACAAGTAAATATGGATTATGATAAAGAAATACATGAAAACAACTATGAGCTTATAAAAGTTTATTTGGTTGATATAGTTAAAAAAGTTGGATATGAACAAATTGTTGAAATTTAGAAATTAGTATAGTTTTGTAGAACTTAAAGACAATATATTATACTTATCACAGATAGTTCACATATATGTACATGTAATCTTCTTATAACACATGGTTATCCATGTCAGCATTTTTATAAAATTTTATGTTGTTCATTTCAAGCTAAATAGCATATCGGACTTATTGCAAAATAATAGTATAAAGATGATATTATTAAAAAAAATCTGAATAAAATTTGAGAACAATCTTCTATCTCATTATGTATGAATAATATTCAAAATCAAGAAATTATAAGTGATTTTGGATATTTGAAAGAGATTCACAATTCAGATATTTATATACCACTATTACAAAAAATTAATAGTACTTACCAAAAATATAGCCATGTACAAGGCATAATACAAAAAGTTCTTGATTTAGCAATTTCTACTAATTTGTATGATGAATTAATAGGCATTTGTCAAACTTTTATATTAAATAAGCAGTATATTCAAGAATCATAGCAAGAAAAATCATCTCGAGATAAAACATTACAAGATAAATTACTACAAGATAAATTACCACAAGATGAATTACTACAAGATGAATTATCACAAGATGAATTACAGAAAAATGATGAATTTAATATTGGAAATCTAATAATTACAGTTCGAAGAGAAAGGCCTCCAGGAAGAGCAAAAAGCACTATTGAAATTTAGAAAAATTAGACAAAAAAATATTATTATCTTTAACCTATAAATGTTAATCAGATAGTTAATGAATTTGAAAATATATACAATAAATCAAAAGAAAAAGATATATACAAAACATGTCAAAATTGTAAGCAAAAAGGACATAACAAAGCAACATATAAAAATTAATTATATTGTTTTTCTTTATCTATGTATACAATTTAATTATAATAACACTTAATGAGTTATACTAAAGCTTTGCATTATAGTAGACTTAAATTTGTATATTATCATAATAATACTAATATACAAGATTTTAAAAAAATAAAGCTTCGAGCTTCTAAATTTATAATACTAAATTCAGTCTATAAAAATTTGATACTAATAATACAATATATAATATTTTTATAGTCTAAATCTAGTAAATAATAGATAATAAACTTGGAAGTCTGAAGCCTTATTTTTATATAAGTTTAGTTACAGTATAATTATAATCTTTTCAAGCAATCAAATAATATACAAAGGTATAGTTTATATAATTTTTTTTCAGTTCATTAAAGCACAATAGTAATATATAATAACAATATATTAATAAATTCAAATAGAACCTTAGTGTTATTGTATAATTAAGAAGGCTTATCTATCAAATTAAATTTCTATATATTGTTCTTTTATAATAGTTAGGGTAAGGGTGAGCACAAATATAAGTTGTTTTTTTTTAGTTAGCGGTTAGGGTTAGGAGTTTTAGATAAAAAAAATTTTTGTAACTATAATGATTTTTAATTTTTATATAAAATAGATTAGCT